GTGTACAGCATCTGAGGGAAAGGATTTGCTGGACCACTCAGGATAGGAACATTAAATAATACCAGGAATAATAGTTACAGGATAAATCAGCAGTAAATAGCAGGAATATTAGTGTTAAAATTGAATTAGGAGAACGTTGCAAGGTAAAAAGCTGCAGCTTATCATAAATGGCCTGTTTTTTTATAAATGCTAACTCTTAGAAACATGTAATTCCCTTTGTACTCTTTCCTTCTTCAGGTGAGGATGCAAAGCAACCTTGAAGTTAGCAGATTTCCTCAAGGAGCTTTCTGAGAGCATTATGTCCTGATTCTCTTGTTACTCTGCCAGTAACTGATTTTCCTGTCTGCTGCATAAAGATGAGCCGTTTCCTTCTTTTATTTTAAAGTAAAACCCCTCTGATAATGCAAACTAAGCCTTTAATCCTCCCGGAGAAGAATCCATTGGTTTGTGTCAAAGCTTGTTCTGTTTGGATGCTCCGTGTGCCTAATAGCACTAACCAGATTTGACCTACACAGCAGAACTCTCTATTGGCTGGTGTGGGCTTAGCACAGGGACCTTTCACCAGGCACTCTCGTTCTTATCTGACCTGACACTGATTGACAGGAGTGAGAATCTCACTGGGAAACTGGAAATCCTCGGTACCGCTATGGATACATGGCCAGTGGTTAAACTGTACACACAGAAAAGAGGTAGGAGAAGCTGTGGTGAACACTTCCTTTTCGCTGCTTTTACAGATGACGAATGTGACTAAAGAACACTGCCTGGAAATCGTCAGCAAGTTTGAACCGTGCCTGGAGAACAAGAAGGAGGGAGCTCTGGGGATTGACGGTGAGCTGCCTGCTGTAGCTCTTGTAGGAAAGAGGCAACTGTTCCAATGCTTCTGAGAAAAAGTTTGCATAACGTATAGTCATAGAATCGTATCACGCTGTACAGAGTATGCTTGTTCCTAGTTTTCTTTTTAATATCTATTATTTGCTGAGGAACCTAAAGGGAAATCAGTCCTCTTTGGAAGGTTTTTAAACGTACATATGCTGAAGAGCAGTCGCTGAAGGTCAGCTGGAGCTGGATGTGGCTTTATTAGTGCTTTTGGAAAACAGTAGAATTTAGTTGCATCACTCCTGCAGGTATTTTTGGAAATCTTTTTAAGTTTTAATAAGGGGAGTGATGTGATCTGGAGTAAACATGTGAAGTGGGATGATAAATGAAATTTATCCGAAGCATGCTTCCGTGACTCCTGGTGCTAAAGCTTCACTCTGAATACAGTGATGCTGTACCATCATGATTGTGGTTGTTATTCTGAGGGCTGATTCTAAATCCTTTCATCTGAATAGTAAATCTTCTGCCAGATCCTGTTGACTCCAGGACAGAGTACGTTGCTCAGGAATTAGATTCTGTGCAGGAGTTCTAGAACCTTTTGAAAATCAGTCTTTTCTGTTTCTGTGGGGATGTTGGCACAGTGAAAAATGGCAAAATGGAAGTTCAGTTCTGTTTGCTGCATGAAGAAGTGGGTAGTTTCTGGTATGTTGGGTGAGGTGGTTGGTTGTTCAAGGAGTGATGGTTACTTGGGAGAGGTTCAGGTCTCCTCTATTTTCAGACTAAATTCTCAGTTCATTTTAAAGCTCATACTAGTGCCAAGTGACTGCAGCAGCTGACATTTTCATGTTTTTATTTTCTGGTGCTGTACGGTCAGTGGCAGTCACATAATTAATGAATAATCAGGTTCATTATCTTGCCTTCCTCATAGATAGGCAAGTCAGACTAGGCTTTCCAAAACAATTGTCGTTTTTCATACCAGAAAGAAAAACTTTCAGAATCCTAACCAGAACAATAACACTGCTGTGCCTAGGAATGGATGATGACACGGTTGATAGTTTATGAGTTAGGATCAGAGACCAGCCCAACGTGGGTGATGTTCTGCTGGGTGTCTGCTACGGATCTCTGGTCAGGAAGAAGTGGAAGATGAGGGTGTTGTGAAACAACTGGGGAAAGCTTCTCATTAGCAGGCTCTGCTCCTCACGGGAGACTTTCACTACGCCAATATCTTGGTGGAAGTGCAGCAGAACAGACCTCAGCTAGAGCTAAACTACTGCAGGAGTTTTCTGGAGTGCATTGATGGTAACATCCTAACAGAGGGAACTGAGGGGCTGACAAGGGGCACAGAGCAGGATCGGGTACTGGCAAAGAAGAAAGAACTGCTTAAAACCCATAGAGTATCTGCATGCATGCATACATATATGCACACGTGTGCATGTGCACACGCGCAGGAGTTACTCTGTGCTTCTCTTTGTGTGCAGCTGAGACTTTAGATCCCTCTTGTCTTCCGGAAAACAAACTGGGTGTTGCCTAGGGAGACTGAAGTCTAACAGCTTGGAAATTGAAGCTCTATGTTTCTTCCTAAATTGATACAGCCAAGACGAGCATCACGCTCACACTTAGCAGCAGCAGTAAGATAATAGCACAGTGTTCCTTGCCCATTCACATTCATTCCTGTGTCTGTGTTTGCTGGCCTCCTCAGCTGTGAGGGCTGGCATCTGCCAGCACCTTGGCCTGGCCTGTGACAACGAGCTCGTTCAACATATCCTTGCAAAACCCTCTTACCTTCCCCTGTTGATCAAAATAAACCACTGTGTCGGTGCACTTTTCCTGAGAGCGTAAGCAGGGAGCTCCGTGGTACACGCTGCCGAGAGAGTCTTCCTCCATTCCTGTTTCCTCATCCTAGGGCTGGTAGAGCCGGTCAGGGCGAACTCGTTGCAGCAGGTTTGATACTATGTTTTACCCAGGGCTTAAGGCAAACAATGGTGTTGTTTCAGAGGCTGCTGCAGCAGTGGTGTGTGGGACTGATCTTGTAGTGGCCGATTGGTTTGTAGAAAGAAGAAAAGATTAATTTGCCAAGAGTCATTAGCTGTATGTCTGCTGACATATGCTGTGCCCTCTCAGTTTTTCAAGCTGTCTGCCCTGACTTGGTTAGTCTTTTGTTTTCACTTTAGCCGTATTTCTGGTTTGCTGGTCCATCATGGCATGTGCCTCAAGAGACTCAAGTATCAGGTTAGACTGAGGATCCCCAGCACTGTTTCCTAGTGTATTGTTCTGGCTGCTGTTTGTATTTATCAGCTCTTTTCCTTTAATGAAACTTTCATCAACACAAAATGTAAAGCCATAAAGGTGACACTTTATCTTAGATTCTGTTCAAGCTATTCTCATCTAGTCTATTCTCTGCGCTCTGCAGACCAGTATTCTGAGACTGATTTTGAGGACTGGAGTTATTTTGCCTTGTGTAGCTTTAGTGAAACAAAGCACCAGGCTGTCACAGACGGAGAAAGCGCATAAAGACCTCTAGAAGTCTGGCAGGTTTTTATATGAGCACAGCTTTATTTATAGAATGATGAGTGACATGTAAGGAGAATTAGAAGTCTTGAAGCAGAGACCTTTCTGAACAAAGGCATCATCGCTGTCAGCAGCTAAGCCAGGATGTGAATGGGAAGCTTAGACTTTCATTGGTGGTGAGTGAAAAGAATTTTGGGGAGACTTGAAATGGAAGTTACAGTTTTTAATGTTAGCCTGTCTTGTGAAAGAGTCTGCGTCCTTGTGCACAACCGTATACTGGTGGTCTGAGAGCAGCAATTTCACACAAAGGTCAAAACCATAACTTGCTAAAACTTTTGCTTCTGAACGAGCGATGATTGCAGTACAGACATTGTCCAGGTGACATAGTCTGCACGATCCGCAAGCATCCCGCTACTTTGGAAAATAAATTCTTCTGGTAGCAACACTGAGAGTGCTACAGATAATTGACGTTTTGGTGTCAAGTCTGGAGTATCACAGTGGCCTTCAGTCCCCTCAAGTGATGCTGTACTGCAGATCTCTCCCGTCTGCATGCGCCGTCATCTCAGAATTAGAGACTCTTGCTTGTAAAAGCCAATATGTGTTGACATTCTTCTGGTGTTTTCAGGAGAAAGAGAGGAGGGGAGAGTATCTCCCTTGCATCAAACTGGGTTGGGTCGCTGGAAACTATCTCTAGGCACTGCAGTACCAAACATCTTTCAGCTCATTTCACAGAGGAGCAATGCCAGGATATGACCGCAGATCTCTGGAAGCTTTTGTATGCTCTGACACTTAATGTCCTAGCAGAGTATTTTGACAAAAATTATAAGCCTGAAACATGAGGTTGCATTAAATAGACATTTTTTTCAGGAAAGGCAGAGCAGGGCAATGTAGAAACCAGCTGGAAATTACTTGAAAGCAGTAACTGCAATGGGTCGTTGTGGCAGGTGGGATGTAATGATGTTTATTTATTTATCTTACCTGTTCAGGAATGCGCTGGTGATTGTAGGGATGCATTTTTAAGCTGGTTTTAGGAAAGCTACAACAACAAAAAGGACAAAACTGTATTATTTATAGTATTGTTTGTTTACAGGTTTCACCAATTACATGCGGAGTCCATCAGGGGACATATTCAACCCAGAGCACTACCAAGTGAATCAGGACATGAGTTACCCTTTGAGTCACTATTTCATTACCTCTTCACATAATACCTACCTCATGGGAGATCAGCTGATGTCCCAGTCTAGAGTGGACATGTATGCATGGGTGCTGCAGTCTGGCTGCCGTTGCGTGGAAGGTAAAGATCTAAAAGGAATCGTCAGTGGGCTCAGTGGTTTCGCTTCTCCTCTGTCAAGGGAGACGCATGACTTCTGCAGACGGCACGGTAATGGGTAGAGGAAAAGGCCTAGTAAATGCTGTCTTCCCTTCATAAAGAATGACAGAACAGTGTTGCCATGTAATGGATAAATGTCTTGAGCGTGGAAATAAGGCAGACATTTGAAGGGTAATGTCGTTGGTACTGAGGAAAAAACAAATTGTGCTATTTTTGTGGAGAGGATACTAACATTCAGCAGAAGGTACTGGTGTACATACATTCGAGCCAAATATTTGTCAACCAGACTGGCAAATACGGCAGATTTCCTGCTATATGTAAGAGGAAAGCTGATATTTCTGATAAGGGGGGTCGGGTTCTATGGTGGAGAGTATTGACAGTCTCTGACCAGGAAGCCTGTATGTGAAATCCCTTCTGATGTTCACAGTGCCTTTCTGAGACCTGTGTCATAGTCATCTGTGGCAGCCTGACCATCACAGTGTTGTCACAGTCTTTCAGAGAGCCAATGTTACGATTTTCAGGTCAGGTTGTGGACATGCCAGTGGGTGCTTTAGAGGAGTAAAACATTTCATGAAAATACAATTGTAAATAAGTGTAAGTTCAGGCAAAATCCAAGGAGGCCTACAGATGCCTAAGTCTTGGCTTCGCTGGTGGTGTGAGAAGCTTGGCTAAGACTCTGCTTTCCCTTTCAGGTTCAAAAAAAAGCAGTGCTATGCTGTGTCATCTCTCTTCCTCTCATAATACTCCTCAGCACTTGCTAAAGGAGATCTTTTTCGCTTGGGGCTTTCTCAAGCAATGGGAAGTCATCAGTGCACAGTAGAATATCAAGGCCATGAAGCTGCTACAGGGAAAGGAGGTTCTATGCTGTGTCATCTCTCTTCCTCTCATAATACTCCTCAGCACTTGCTAAAGGAGATCTTTTTCGCTTGGGGCTTTCTCAAGCAATGGGAAGTCATCAGTGCACAGTAGAATATCAAGGCCATGAAGCTGCTACAGGGAAAGGAGGTTCAACAGATGGAGGGTGGGAATGAACCTTTGCCTTGCTTGGCTGTGTACACGGCTGGCGGGTTGCTGGACGGAATGGCAGGGTCTCATGGTCTTCAGCAGATGGTGGCCCCAGATGTTACTTGTCTGATGGGTGTCACTGTTTCTGTTCTACAGTTGACTGCTGGGATGGGCCGGATGGTGAACCGATTGTCCACCATGGATACACTCTGACTTCCAAAATTCTCTTCAAAGATGTGATTGAAACGATCAACAAATATGCCTTTATCAAGAATGAGTATGTATACGGTCTGCCAACTTCTGAATCTTTTACAGGGCTGTAAGCTGGAGTGTTCCCAGGCATCTTGTAAAGGCAGTCAGTGGTAACCTAACCTGTGTCTGCACGTGCCAGACAGAATTCTGAGCTGTTTCTGTGGGGAGGAAGCCTTCAGAAAGACATAATGAGGCAAACCGACTGAGTAGGGGCATTCTCTACATAGCTGTGAGGCTGCCTTTATCCCATTTGTAGAAGATCAGAGGATCAACATATTTTGCCAGTGACTATTTGTAGTGAATGGTTGGCAGTTCAACACATTTCTCTCTGGATGTGTACTCCAGTATGCCAAGGTGACGCTTGGGTGCTCCAGGGATAGGAAGCAGGTCAGGCAGCAAAGGAGAGACAGTAGCCCAGTTGTGGAGAAAGCAGCCTGTTCAAGAGACAGGTTATTTTCCCTACCTGTATATTGCTAAGGAAATCAGAGAATTATCTGATGGGAAGTTTCATATACCTTGGCAGTACTGTCCTGAGAGTCAAAATGTGTGTGTCAACCTGTTTTTTTAAAGATACATTCATTTATCTCTGTAAAAATTCTCCAGTAGCTCCTCCAAAGTCGTCCATCTGCCTTCATGAATAGAGCTAAACTTGCACTGAAATTTCAGCCCAGGTAAACTTATTTTGAGCCTGACATTTTTGGAGTAAGGTGTGATAAATCAAAGGAGAGCTGGCAGGCAGAATACATGGCAATGCTTCTGAAATTGTGGCAGTTCTTAAAAGCTGTACAGAAAGGTTAACTGGAGCCGCGTTACAACTTGTTATGTGTGGTGGTTTTTTTTCCGGATAGGTGTTGATGCTCAGTCCGAGTTTGGTACCAAATGAAGTGTGTTTTAGACTTGCAGATGTTTACTTTCCCAGTATAGGCTGGAGACATAGCTGTTGGGAAGCTGCAAATTCAGCTTAGGAACTAGCTTCAGGCAAAGCTGGGGATGTAACTATAGTCATCAGCTGGGAACATTTTGTCCTGCAGGCATTGTCTCGCTCAAAGCCTCATTTTGCCTGATGAGGAGCTATTGAGGGCCTGATGTCAGGATAGACATCTATTTCTTCATAATTAGTTTTTAAATAATGAATCCCTCATAATTCAGCCCCACCAAACTGCATTGTACGCTGGCTTTTGTGCTTATCCTAAAAATGTATCATCTCTAAACAGAAACCCACCTTCAGTGGGCTTTTATATGGCACCAACCACACTGAAATCAATGTTTCACAAATCTTGATGCCTTTCAAACAACATTATTTTTGCTTATTGCTCAGCCTCAGCCTGAAGAATCAACAATAAATGACAGCACTAAAACCAGATCTATAAGTAATGCTGTCTTTGTAGAAGAGGCTGTATCTGCAGGCTGGTTTGTATGATACTGCTCTGTTACCAGCTAGAAAAGATTTCCTGGAAGAACTAGTGCAACAGGTTCATCACTTGGTTGTTGGAAGTGGGAAGGTTAGTTGGAAAGGAAGATCCACTGGGGATCTTTTTTCAGTTCTTGGAACCTTTATTTACCTTTACCTGTGAGAGTACAAAAGGGCTGGAGCACCCACTGGAGGGGAGAGTTGAAGGCACTGGGTATTTAGGTTTTCCTTATGAATGGCTTGCCACAGTCTCTTTGATAGGACGTAGAGGTCAGGACTGGGTAGTGTAGGAAGGGGAGAAGTGTGCTCTGGAAAAAAAAAGCATCAAATCAGATTGCAGAAGTTAAATTATCCCGTTGCTGTCAAAAACGGACCGTTCAGTTTGGAGTGAGTATTGGGGTATCAACACTGAGCCCACACCCCTGCAGATTTCGCTGGGGGTGATGCCTGTTCCAGGAATGGCTCAGACAGTAAAAACCCTTATCCTCTGAATGCAGTACAAGCTGAATTTGCAGCTGATGATACTCACTGTTGTCTCTGCCAGGTACCCTGTTATCTTGTCAATTGAGAACCATTGCAGTGTCATCCAGCAGAAGAAGATGGCTCAGTATCTTCTAGAAATTCTAGGAGACAAACTGGATCTGTCTTCTGTGCACAATGATGATTCCACCAAGCTCCCTTCACCAGAAAGTCTTAAAGGCAAGATACTGGTTAAGGTAAAAACGTGCTTCATCTGTTTCATCCCTCTTTTTGTTTGTGATGATTATGATTTCTGCCCAATTATCACTTAGACCCTAACTTAAATCATTGTACAAAAAGCAGTCTTCAAGAACCTGGCACTTCAGGTTCTGAACAAATGTCTTCTCAATCAACAAGAACCTGGTTGCATGCTTTGTATATATGATTTTTCTAAACGTGTGGTAGCGAGAGCTGCATGCCAACCTGCCTGTGTAATCATTTTACCGTCCAGGGGAAGAAACTTCCAGCCAACATCAGTGATGATGCAGAGGAAGGTGAAGTTTCTGATGAGGACAGTGCTGATGAGATTGATGACGACTGTAAACTAATGAATGGAGATGTAAGTTGAGTGCCCATTTGACTGTAAATGCATGTTACCTTTTCCCACCCCAGTGAGAAGAAACCTTGTAAGGGTTCTCTGCAGTGTGGATGTGATCTAATCTTTGGGATTCAGCAGAAGTCCTTTAGGTTCTAAACCTTCCTGGGGACAGATTTGACAAAAGTTCAGCAGCACCCCTAATGCTGGTTATGTTTCAGGTTTGGAGTTTTTTGTCTTTTACTATTTTAAATAATAATATCTCATGACTCTATTGCATTGTAGTGTTCTTCCCCTCAAGTGCCAAAAAGAAAAGAAAAAATTCTACCTATGTCAAACTGAGGTCATTGTTACAGAGCATCCCTTTGGGTTGCTGAATGCCACCCCTTTGGTTTGCAGAATGCTGGCCTTAGTGGGTTTTTAATTTAAAGGAGAATTAAAATGGGAGAATGTTTTAATCTCTGCTTGCTTCAATCTGAAAATCCCTTATTTCTTCATCCTTTTTAAAAGTTGGGGATTTTTGTCACTTTAATCTTCTGGGAAGTGACATTACATCTTACAGAAACAATATGAAGCACAGCAGAACTGCTTGATAACATAAGCTAGATTGCCTTGGAGAGAGATTGCATTTTCAGTCCTCTCTCCCTCAGGCCATTTCCTCATTTTGTGTTATGGATTTGATCCTTTTCATCTGAAACCAAATGAGAAACTTCTTTATGAATAAGTCTACCAAAGGGGAAGAATCATATTTTGGGTTTTTTAAAAACTATTATGTTTTAGCAAATCACTTTTCAGTATTTCCAGGCTGCTTTAATGCCTCATGTTTTGTGACACTTTCTTGTTAGATGTTGCATCTTTTCAAAGTGGAAGGTACTGTACAGCCAGGGGTGACAGGGGTCGGTCCAGGAGGCTTACAGCTATGTACAGCCAGGCCTGGTACCAAGGCCATCTGCCCAGGGAGAGAATGAACTGAAAGCTGAACCAAAAGCTTTGACAATCCACTTAAGGGCTACCTGTATATGGAAACCAGAACTATGCAAACCAAGTAAAAGGAGAATTGGATATTTCTTGACTCTGAAACTTCACTGTGATCAGCGCAGTTCACTCGGCTGTTTCCCTGTGTTGTCTAGTTCTCTCTCTGCCCCAGGCGTGGCAGACCATTTTCAGCAGCCAAAGGAAACAAGGCAGGTGATTTGGCAGCCCTGTTAAATTCAGAGGCACTCTCGTACTTAAGGTCCTGATTTTGCAAGTTTTCCAGATAATTTGTAGGCTTAAAGATGGTTTGTTTTGAGGGGATCCTAATCCAACTACTTGAACAAGCAGACATGTCAGCGGATCTCTCATTGCTAGAAGTCACTTCTGCCATGATTCTTTTCAACTTAGCCCACACATAAGCTATTTATAAAGAGATGTCAAATAATGTTTATTTTAATTCCATTAAATGGATGGCGAAACGAAAGCCAGTGAGAGTCATCTTTCATAATAAAATTAGGTAGTAACATGTTATGGCTGGGTGTATTATTCTCAGCAAAGGCTCAGTAGGCGTTGCTTTGCTGACCTCATTCTCTTTGTTACGAGCAGTTCACTTTCCTGTAAGGTTTACTGATGCTTTGAATCTGAGATTTGCTACATCTGCCTTCTTTTCCAGGCCAAATTTTGAAGAGCTCAAAAAATCATAGCTTGTTTCATGACAAATTTAACTGGGAATTCTTAAGGCCTACTGAGAAAACACAATCTGTCACCCTTTAAAAGACCTGGGACTGTAAGTTTATGCCTCATGGAGGAAGAAAACTCTGGATTTCTATTTTTGTTTCCCGCACTTCCTCACGTGGGCTGTGGTGTACACTGGAGGGAACAGCGGCTCTCTGACGTTTTGCCCTTGAACCACTGAAATCAAGATTAAAGCTTGATTTCAAAAAAGCCGCTCCCATTCCATCCAGTGGGATCTGCCTCTGTTGTAGCTGCAGTCACCCTTGGCAGAGCAGATGAACGCTGTCCCTCAACCCCAGTGTGTGAGGGAAACACCGGATACTAGAGTTTCCACACGTATCCATTACAATTCAATTTCCATGAAGAATGGCAGCACAGTGGAGTAAATCATGGTTTTAAACTGAATATGGAGTGCAAAACGTGGCCTGTGTGAATCCAGTTGGGTTTGGGAGTCATCTCCGTAATAGTCATCTCAGTTAGCACATCCTTGGCTTATAACAGATGCTGCACCTGAATAGCTCTGCTAATGGTCAGTCTTGGTTTAATTAGAACTGTTTTAATTAGTTCTACTCTGTCATCACTTCAGACAATCTGTTTACACTTGACATCTAACATCTACTTCAGGGCCTCATATGCTTCCGTAGTTTGCATTAATCCTGGCTGGAATTGCTAAGACTTTTTTCATCACCACCTAGTTTAATGATCCTGTTTTCTTTGTAGGCATCTAGTAATAGGAAAAGAGTGGAGAATATAGCAAAGAAAAAACTGGACTCACTCATAAAAGAATCCAAGATCCGTGACTGTGAAGATCCGAACAATTTTACAGTTACCACTCTGCCCTCATCAGGAAAGGCTGCTCTGAAATCAGAGAGTAAGAAGGTGAACATGTTTTATTCCATTTTGCTTATCCCTACACCTGATTGTTGTTTGTCTCTGTAGCTACGTAGTACTATTATTTCAGAACAGTAACACTTGTTCTTTCAAAGGTGGATGTCTACGGTTGGGCTTTTAAATCTGTGTTGAGACTCCCCAGAAAAGACAGCTCAGTGTACCTGAGGTGTCTGCAGCTATCATAGTCCTAGTGAAATTAAAGAATGCTCCACACTTCCCTTAAAACAAGGTAGTGTGAGTCATACGACGGGTTTTGCAAAGTCTGTCGGGTCCCTCTCTAGGTTAACTGGGATAATAACATTTAAGAATAACCAAGTAGCCAAAACGTTCCCCTGGGATGTGGCAGATCCAGGTTCATGGAGTCAGAGTTCGGTGGAGCTGGAATTTTGACGCTATGTTTTCCGTTCCTGGATGACTGCCCTGACCACCACGGATTAGGCTGTTTCAGTATAGAAGCTAACACATTCCCTTCTTCTGTAGCATTTTCTGAGATATTTTGTCATGACATCCTATTAAAACCTCACATTCCTTATGTAAAAGCTACGTCATAAGGAAGAATACTTTTAACATTTATGACCATTTATTAGAAGCTTCTTTTTAATTTGCAGATAATGAGATTTGAATTTTTGCTAGTTTTATGATTCGCACTCGATGCAGAAGGATATTCTGTTATTGCAGATGAATAGTGAAACATGACAGTCCTCCAGAATATGACCCAGAATGCTAAACACTTCTTTCTCCAAAGTCCAGTGACCTCAGAGGAAGGTGGTTAGCATTTCCCTTATTGTGTTTGATTAGCTTTCTGAATAAATTACATATTATTGCCTTCAGATTCACAGTTCGTTCGGTTGATGATGACGCCAGGTGGACATCACTCTCGGATATGCAAAGGTGTTTTTTCTTGCTCACACAGCAATTGGAGCATGAAATGTGCACATGAAATGACTTTTCAACAGGAAGAATTTTATTCTCCATTATAAAAAGTGCATATGAAAGTTGGGCTTTTTGCCCTCAGTTCTCTGTTCTGTGCATTTACGTTTGTATTTTAATTTTGTACTAACGCCTATTTTTAAAAATGTGCTCAGCCCACAGACAGCTTCGTGAACTTGAGGCAATGTCATTTTAGAATTTATAATAAGCCACAAAAGCTTAGGAAGATTGTTGCATGGAAATGAAAAACACTAGAGATCTGCCAATAAGACAGAGATGTGCTAACTTGGGATTGAGACTAGATGAGAACTAAAAATCAGCTTCCCAAAACATTTTATGGCATGAGTGTTGTATGGACTTTTAAGCCCAATGGTTCACATGATGTGTCAGTTACTCTTGTAAGATCCACTGCAAAGCCAAGACTTCAGGAGTCCTTTTGCGCAGGTGTTAACCAGAATAGTCTGTGTTGTATTAGTCCAGAAAACAAACTGTAAGGTCATATTAAACAGCAGCAGCACCGGTGAAGTACACACATTTGTTTTATGAGAATGTAGGTTCTTCCTTACTGTGGAGTATCGTAGTAAAACTGTGCAGCTGGCAGAAATCAGTCCTGTTAAGCTACCTGGTGTCAATGCAGGTGTGTGGTATGGGGCACTCGGACTTTGCCTGGAGGAAAGCAGAATTGGAGTGGGGTATCTGCCTGATTACTTCCTGCTCTGAAACTTCCCGTGGGCAAAAAGTGATGGCAGTTATTGCTGGGACATGAGGTCTTATACTCAACTTATGTTTAAAAAAGCCTGCATGGGCCTGGTCCGGTTCTGTTGACGCTTTAGGGAGGAGTGCTTCCCAAACTATGTGTGCCGATGTTCAGACACACTCTCAGTCATACTCGGTTTGGTCTGCTGCATTATTCTTTCTGTTTGAATTCTGTTTGAAAAATGAATCTGCTTGATTGCTTTAGAGTAAACTTGAGGACGATGTGGAGTCTGGGGAAGACTTCAGTACCAGTAAAAGGCAGAGCCGGTCATTGATGGGCAGCTTTTCTAAACGCAAGGTGAGCCACTCGGTGGGTTTGGTCTACGCTAAAGTTTATGTCCTTGGGTAGGTTTTGGCTTTGCGCACAGTGGTGTAGAGGAGTATCGTAAGTGCATTGTCTGGCTGGATAACTGGTCATAACTACACATAACGAGGCAGCTTCAGTTGACATCAAGGTCATAAAGTATCCAAGATCTGTTCTGAAAACATAAAAATTCATTTGCACCTTTCACCTGAGGGTTTGTGATTCCTTTATAAAGAGGCTCTGAGCTTGGGCTGAGCCTTCCCCGCGCGCCTGCGTATCATGCTGCCACCAGACTGTTGCCAACGCTGGCGTTTCCCGTTTTCTGTGAGCGATGTGCTCGTTGGCATGGCAAAGCAGAATTGTATTCAGCTGCTCTAATGCTGATCAGACAGTTGTGATATGATGGTTTTATTTCCCTGTGGCACAGAAAAAAGGAAGCAAATTGAAAAAGGCAACAAGTCTGGAAGAGGGCGAAGACGATTTGGATTCTCAAGGAAATTTAGCCAGGAGCTCTGTACATACCAGCAGGTCTGTTAACAAGCAATTTGGCAATGTTGTTTCTAAGACAGATACCTACATAAATGTACCCACGAAATGGAAATGCTCCAGGTCCAGAAGCCGATTATGGAAAGCTGCAGGCACATGACAGGAATCTGGTATGAGGGCAGATCCGATGTCTGCACAGGGCCATCGGAGTGATCCCTTAGTGCCATTCAGACAGTTAGCAAGGGACAGTGGACCTTGTATGTGTTGTGAGCTCTGACCATCTCATCCCGCTGACATACAGGCCATCGGAGTGGTGGCCTGGTGAATCCATTAAGGTGGATTTGCAGTGATTCAGGTCCCCGGCAGATAGTTTTTTTAATTGTTTTGTAATTTACCAAATGAAGCTGCAATAATATTCAGGTGAAGATTTTGAGTTCTTTAAATTGCCTCTTCAAAAATCCTGACATCAAAGATCCTTTGCAGAATGGTTGCTTAAGCTTCAGGCTTCAGAAGTAAAACATCCGGTCAAGCGGTTCTCCGGGGTACTGCAGAGCTTTCTTGGGAGGTCAGTAGACATGCTGGTAGTGATGGCCTGAAGCAAAGGAGGCGGGTCAGAGCATTGCTTTCGTGCTATTTCTTTGGGATTTGAAAAGGATTTTTGTTAGCACTTGACTTGAGAAGTAAATATGTGTGTGAATAGATATTCCAGCCTTTGGTCAAAGCAATACAGGGTCCTCCCCACCAGAGCTTGGTAGGTGAGTACTTATGCCTGCCATTGGCATGTAAGAACAGGGCTGTTCTCTGTGCTTTTATGGCCTTGGTTCCACAACTTCTGCGCTTTGGCAATGAAGCTTTAAGCGGTATAAAACTATCGAGTACCTCCTTGGTGGAAGAAAACCTTCCTATATTTCTTTATACTGATTGTGTAAATCCGAAAGATAAAACTTACCCCGTAGTTAACGGACAGTTAATTTGTTTTACCTTTCTAGGATGACCCGACAGAAGAAAACGATGAAGCTGTCCAGGGCACTCTCTGACCTGGTGAAATACACCAAGTCTGTTGGCATCCATGATGTCGAAGCTGAAAGTAGGTTGAACTAAAAGTCTGCTGAAAATAATTGCTACACAAAGATATGGAAAGGTTTATGTCCTTACGTATCTTCTCATTAAAAGCTGGTTTTCTCTTAATTTCTCCCCACCCTGAAAAGATGGTAAAGGAGGAGCTGCACACAATAAAGCTCTGCTATTTTGGAGTGGCTGACCACTTGCCATTCAGAGTCCACAAAGGGGCTCTAGACTTGTGTGGCAGCTTCCATAAAGGAGAAGAAGTTACTGTGGGTAGTAAGTGGTACATGTCATCTTTGCTAGCTCGTGTAAAAGCTGCTACACAACACTTATATCCTGGGAAATAACAGAGGGCTTAGTAATGCCCTTGGGCAGGATGGTCTGAAGAGCGTTTTAAGCTTAAAGTTTAGGTTTTTAAGTCAAATCTGATGAGATATCAGCATGGAATTTCTAGAATATTTCAGTCCTCTTTTTAAGTTTTCTGCATCTTTGACAGGAATCCAGTTTTAATTAAAAATGTCAGAAAGAGAGAACTGCTTGCCAGGAACCAAACCTTCCTTGAGGAAATAAAAAAAAAAATCTTAGAGATTTTTTATAAAACTTCTTAATGAAGATTCAGGTCATTCATTATATTCAGCTTCATTTCCCCAGCCCTGCTCCTCCAGGAAGCACCGTGATTTTGCTGTAATGTAAGAAAAGCATAGTTCCTTCTGAGTGGGGTGTATTCGAAGGATGCTTGGTGGTTACCAGGAACTATGTGGGTTTGAATGCTTTATCTAGATACTCAATAAATAAGGAGGTTACCTCTCATCTCCTCCTCTCGTGGTTCTAGTCTCGTCCAGCTGGCAGGTTTCATCCTTCAGTGAAACAAAAGCCCACCAAATCCTGCAGCAAAAGCCAGCACAGTATCTACGGTTCAACCAGCATCAGTTGTCCCGCATCTACCCATCTTCTTACCGCGTGGACTCTAGCAACTACAATCCCCAGCCCTTCTGGAATGCTGGCTGCCAACTTGGTGAGCAGAAAGAAAAATCGTTCAGTTTTGGTTTATTTTGGGAGGGCTGTTTATATAGGAGCTCCGAATTCACCCCTTAAAATACTACGAGTTCACTTGCAATCGAGTCCTCCTTGTTACCTGGCTGGATTGCCTCAAACACGTGTCTGCGTGCAAGTAGTTGTCTGATAAATGGAAATAAATGAACTTCTCAAATGCAAGAGGAGTTCAGAGCTCTGAGCCCTGTGGAGAGCTGCTCTCCCGGGAGCTGGGGGGTATCTTACAGAGGAGAAACCTTCTTCAGTAAACATTTCAGTCTTTGCATCCAAGAAGTCAAATGTGAAAATGTATTTAGGTGTCCTTCCCTCAACTTTGTTCTGCAAACCAGAATGTTGTTAACACCTTCAGTAAGTTATACCACCTTTTTGGTTTTTAAATAGTTGCACTAAACTACCAGTCCGAGGGGAGAATGCTGCAACTGAACCGGGCCAAATTTAGTGCCAATGGGAATTGTGGCTATGTCCTCAAACCAAACTGCATGTGTCAAGGTAAGAAAAATAAGCAAAATGAGTGGATTACTTACTGCATGGGAAGAGGGGCTGTGGATCCTTATTACGGTTTGCTTAAAAATGCCTTTCTGATGCTGAAAGCAACTAAGCCAGAATGTATCTATAACTATAAGTCATCCCCAAAATTGCACTTCTTTCACACTCTGTGACTTCTCATTTTTCCAGGTGTCTTTAATCCAAATTCTGAGGACCCGCTCCCTGGCCAATTGAAGAAACAACTGGTCCTAAGAATTATCAGCGGTCAACAACTCCCAAAACCACGTGATTCCATGTTGGGAGACCGAGGAGAGGTATGGGACAATCAGTGACTGTTCCAGTGTGTTGGGGAAGGTGGGGGATGCTGTCTCAGTGTCATCCACATGACTTCATTAAATATTAGTCTTTAATGAATGCTAGGACAAAGTTTTATCAGAATTTAGATTTCCTTCTACCCTCTTTCAATTAGAATCAAACCTCTCACACGGGTTCTTACATGCTTGAATTTGCGTGAATGTTTCAGTCAGCTTCTAAATACTTTCTCCACAGAACTCTTTAGGCGACTACATCAAACCAGGTAAACTCCCCCAAAAACCAAACACAGTAGAGTCATGCTGAGGGTTTAGTGAACCTCTGCGCTTCAGTGAATTTCCATTTTCATTAATATCCCAGTATGCAACAGCATGGAATTTGTCCTGATTCAGATTACTCGTATTTCAGAAGATGCAAAACAGTCTGCTGGAATTCCATTTTACCCTGAACAGTAGAGGAAATGGCTCACGCGGAACAGAAACCTGGAGGAATGCTACCTGAATGCACAAATCCAATTCCCTATGACTACGACAGTCGTGTTTTATGGGATTCCTCTAGAAGGGCGCTGCAAAACGTACAGCTTACTCCCCATGTCAGGACGTAACAACATGTAGGAAAATGAACGCTCTTAAGATAAAATGCCTAAGAAACAGTCTGCACCCAGTCTGTCCAGCTACCAACCGTGAACAGTGTAACCCTGAGTAAGGGTTCATTGCAGCCAAGCACTCCAGGGCTGGCTCATCCTACCCGATTTCCTGTGCTCCCCGATGCGACTGCTCTTGGTGTCTGAGCTAAGTCAGGTATCTACACCACCACAGCCTGCAATAAAAGCCCTGGTGAAAGCTGCAGTAAGTTAGGTGGTGTTTAAAATCCCATGTCTCATTTATTTGTTTCCCTTGCACACAATTTTACCAGGGAAAAATCAGGCCTTTATTGTGCTGAGCACTGTATGTTGTGAAAAAGGTTTTGTAGGCTAGAGCTAGGCGAGCAGGACGTTTGACAGATACACTGTGTAGTCTTCCCCAGAGAGAATGATGTGTCCAAGAGTACGAAAAAGCAGACACAACACATCTGATTTCTCATTAGTGGTGAAGTATCTCTATAGGAATGTGGACACAAGGAACATTGGTGGTGTTCTGAGCATCGAAAAGATTCTTCATCCTTGCTGAGGTTGTGTTGGATGTTGACAATCTTGGTGTCTGAAAGCAGTAACAAGCTTTCAAAAAGTCTGATCTTTGATTCAAGGCACACTTGTCTTCAGTGTTCCTTACTGGGAGATGATGGTGCATTTGAGTATCGGGTTGCTGTTTCAAATGAGGTGTAATTGAAGGGTCTCATCAGCATAATAATTACAGAAAGGCTCAGGACCAATAATTACTAAGACAATGCTGTACAATGCCCACGTTGGACAAGCTGTGTGCCTGAATTTCATCCCTGTCGCTTTCTTTTCAACATTTGTTGCTTTCTGTTTTCCAGATCATAGATCCATTTGTTGAAGTGGAAGTTATAGGCTTACCTGTTGATTGCTTCAAAGAACAAACTAGAGTAGTTGATGATAATGGTAAGATTATGTGGGTTTTAGCTTCTTTTATGGCCGGAACATCCTCTTTCAGGCAAATTTTGTTCTTGAAGATACAAGTAGATGAAATTTGGTGCCTACTGGGGAAAAGCACTGAAAAATTCATTTCAGCCTTCTTGATATTAACCAGAATTGGGGCTTGAATTGTTCGACCGAGCTGGTATAGTTTTGTGAAGGTCGTGGTGTAAAACAAGCCATTTGTCTGACTTCTGCTTGTGTGAGAAAAGGATATTTGGAGCTTGCTGTCACCAAAAGAAAGCTGTCCAAACATGGCTGAAAGCAGGACCAACTTTGAGTAAGATCCAACTGTGTTCCTTGCAAATTCTTGTGCTGTTGCGCCTCCTGCGGAAGTGAGTGAGAGCACTGGATTTTCCAAGACCAATGATCAAACTGTTAGGAAAACTAGAATGACATTGAAGTTTAGGCATTCCTTATGCAGACAGTCTGCTTTCTTCTTGCATCTTGTGAACGAAACATCTAAAAGCTGATTCCTTCACTCCAAGGTTTTAACCCGATGTGGGAGGAAACGTTGGTGTTCACCGTGCACATGCCAGAGATTGCACTGATTCGGTTCCTTGTGTGGGACCATGATCCAATTGGGCGTGATTTTATTGGACAGAGAACAATAGCTTTCAGCAGTATGATGCCAGGTAAGACAGGAATGGTGAAATCCCACATCAGTTGGCTGGGATGTTTTTCTGGGGGAGCTAAAGCTGCAGATGCTGGACTCGTGTCTGCTGCAGAGGTCTCTAGTTAGAACGAGAGACTGGGAGTTTGGACCCTGAATTCTCTACCTTGGTCCGCTACGGACTTATGTGGTGATGAAGACTAAATCAATTAACTCCATGGGACTAGATTTTCAAAAATTGGGTAAGATTGCTAAGCAGGATGGCGAAATATTGTGGACTTGGAAGACTACCATACAGAATCCTTACTCCTGTTATCTCATACTGCTTTTTCCTCCATTTTCTTCACAGCAGTTTTTGAAAGGCACTGGAGTTTTGGTTGGCCGTGTTACTGTCAGTAATAGTTTAATACGGAACAGGTAGTTTCCTGTTCTGATGGTGGGATCCAGGTTGTCAAATGCCATTTCCTGTCGGTTTCCTGTTTCTGTTTTCAGTCTTCCTTCACATTAAAGCTTCTTCTGGGTATACTGTTCTTTTCTTTCAAAGTAAAGAAAAAAGTTAGTGGTTAAGATTGAAACCAAACACCCAGTCTCAATAAAATGATCTGGATTGAAATGTTTGTGGTATTAATAATAGACTCTAAGTCTCCAGGAGAGAGTGTAGTCAAGTTTAAGTCACAGACTGACAGCAGCAATAATGGACCCAGGGAAAAGCAGGACATGGCTTTTATTACAAAACAAAGGGGCTAAGAAGAAGTGGCAGTTAAGTTTGTAAGTGGTGTGGCTCTTGGATAACTGGGAGCGGCTGGGTAATGCACAAGCCTGGATGCTTGGTGCGGGGAGGAGCTGGGCAAAAACGGTTCATTTACAAAGGGAAAAATCTCGAGATGCTCTTCCTGTCATCTGTTTCAACTCCTTGTCAGCTGTGTTCACTCTCTTTCAGGTTACCGACACGTGTACCTGGAGGGTATAGAGGAGGCATCCATCTTTGTTCACGTGGCTATTAATGACATCTGTGGTAAGGTGAGTGCCCTCAGGGCAAGGTAATACAGCTTGCAGACGGAAATGAACCGGCAGAATTTTGTGTCACCCTAGGGAAGCCCAGTGGGTGAAGGTCCAGGCTAGTGTGTATGTTCAGCTAGAGTAAACTTCCTCCCTGTGATTGCCATGGTAGCCTGAGGTCCTTCTGCGTACGCATGGAGATGCAGACAGATCGTAAAGAGATTCTGGGCTGTCCTTTCTGAGGCAGCGTAGGGGAAGGTGATTGCATGGCAGCATGCACACACCTATATAAATAAATATGGTTGTGTCCAGGACCGTAAGCACACCGGGCTGGACAAGAGGTTATACACCTCGGCTGTGAGCGCCTGTTGCCTGCAAAGCTGCTTCTGTAAAGGCTCTCTGGGCCTGATGCTTTTGCATTTTTAAATTTAATTGCCTTCTTAAGGCTTATTTGCTTTGGGGTTTTTCCATAACAACACTTAAACTGCAGAAGAAACATGACCCTGGTAATAGTTTTTGGACTTATTTTCACTGCTTATCTATTGTTAAGAGTGTGTTTGCTCCACATGCAGGAAAAACTACAGCTGAGTGCTAGATTTAAATTCCCATGAATAGCTCCAAGCTATCCAAAGCCCTAACTTCAAACTTCTCCTGGCCAGCGGAAAATGAGGCAGCTTCTTTCCTCGCAGGGCACTGGATTTAGTTACTTCTGCGATGTTAGTGTCAATGAAATTCAGGTAGCTAAGTATCTTACAGCCTTGGGAATCTCAAAGCCAGTTTCTATCCACACAACGACAGGCTGAGCTTTGTCGCAACAAACTGTAATGTCAGCATAGCGACAGCAGGAGGCGGCGTTGAATAGGCTGGGAATTCGGAGTTCCTTCTGTTCATGGAAGAGGAATTAAACCAATTCTTTAAAAGGAAAACAGCTTTTCACATTGCTAGATTTTAATGAAAACGTTTATAGGATGAAACAGATAAATCCCAGGAGAACTTCTTTCTTTATTTATAGGAAGAAGGGCTGTTTCTGGAAAGAATGTCACTGTAGACATTTTAGCTCATTTCCTGCTTTTTTATTTGATGTTTACTGCACAGCCTTTAGGCAGGTATAGCTTCATCCTGACGGGGCTAGGAGTCTTGCCTGAACCTCCTCCTGGCATTATGAACCTCTTTGGATTTAACTCTGTTAAGCAGGAGCCTTGAGAAGCTTTAAGTGAAATCCAGGTGGTCGGTGTTGGTGTGAGCAGGACAGAGCAGACGAGCAGTGTTTAATTTCAGACGGTAGGGCCAGTCACAGATAAAAGGCTGGCACCCAGGTCATGGTAAAAAGGCCAAGTCGTCCCAGGCTTCGAGGGAAAGTGATGGTAGGCTGAACATTTTAATGCTAAGATTGTTCCCGACTTTTTTCGGGCTCCAGGGAACTGTATAGGACATAAGGCATGCCTGTTTTGACTGTGGGCAGGGATGCAGTTGTTTCAGTAACCTGACAGGCGTTGGATGCATGCGCTGGCACTGATTCAGCTTTACATTTCAGTATGAACTTCTGTGGCGTTCCTGTGTTCAGATCTGTTGCTCTTTTATGAATAGTTCCATCAAACTCTCCATCCTTGTACCAAGAAATGCGATAGCTCAGCCTTGGGTGTGAGGCCAGTGGGAACTGAATGGATCTGGTTAGTACCTATGTCCTCGAATGAAACAGGCTTCTGTTTGCTGTATCATCCAGCAGAGAAGGTGGCTGCCCTGGCCAGCCCTACTCATCCCTTTTTGAATTCCTCTTTTCCGTTCTGTTCTCAGTCACAATGATAGAGGATAGGCAGATTATCCTCCCCTTCCCAGTGTTGTGTGCGTTCATACTCCCGTTGTTTGCGACTTGCAGGCGATGTGCTCTGTGCTGCTCTCTCGACTGCTGCAAGGACAGCAAGTACTGCAGCGTCCTTCATTGCAAGTCTGTCTGTAGCTTAATATCCACTGGCAAATGGGATTTTTAAAGAAAAGACAAACTAGGTCTGCCTGCCTTAATCACTGTTCTGTTGACGTCATCAGCTTCCGAGTCACTGTCCTCGATTGCAGTGTTTAATGAGAGACAATGTTCATAGTCTTTCTGAGTGTTTTAAGAGTTTTCATCTCCAATCTTTGGCAATATTGTAAGGCATTCTCTCTTGTAATCCTTACTTTACCTAGCCTTTCATAATTACTTCCTCTTACTGGCTTCCTCATGAGCAACTGCCTGGTGACAGTTACAACTCGAAGTAGGGCAACACACCCATTCAAACTTTGGCAGCTAGTTTGAGGATATTAGTCTTTCTTGGTAAGTGTTAAACAACTGCAAGTTGCAGGTGTATCACGGTGTGTCCTCCATGGCCTTGTCCACTGGCTTCTAATCTACTGCACTGATTTGTTTTTTGAGTGCTTTACCCCCTTTTCATCTTCAAGGTCTATTAGACATCCCTTATTCCTTCTCACTATCGTTGCAGTCTCTGGGTTTGCTGGTGTTAAGATGCTGGTGCTGTGCAGTGACGTGATTAAGATACAAGGATTTTAAATGAAAGGTTTTATGTGGGTGGGGTTTTTTAAATTTATAATTTTTAATGATAACTACTGAAAATAGGGTAGTAATATTACATGGCCTCTTTCTGTTTTTTTCTCTCTGAATCATGGCCTGCTTTGATTTTTCAGTTAACAGAAATTTGGGAAGAAAAATCACTGCAGTTATCAGCCTGGTTTCAGCTGGCACTATTTTGGGCTGTATTAATCCAGATATTCCAACTAATTAACCATTTGGGGCTTTTTTTCTAACTGTAGATATTCCACCATCTCAGTACCTTGATATTACTAAAGCAGTAATTTGATATTACTAAAGCAGAGGCTTAGATTTCACCTTAACTTGTGTTTAACTGAACTTTCTTTCTGGATTGCACTGTTCTGTGGAGATGCTTTTCTTTGTCTGTCTCTTCCCTAGTCTATTCATGTACTGCAGAATTTCTTGTGGTTTTCTGGATGTGCATATCTCTGAGACCCACCCTCACTGTTGTTTTGCCTTTACTCTGTCTGTTTGTGATTTCAGTGGGCTTCTCTATGTCAAAAAAAGTCTACTTTTAGAAGCAGAGCATTTGTAGACGCCTTGAAGGTACCCCCTCCTGCCTCAGGGAGGTGTAGTGACCACCACCACACACCTGCATGCCTCTACCCACTTGCTTCATCATCAGTGTTTCCTTATTCGTATGTGAAGCTCTTCAACTCATGTAACATGAATTGTGACATTTGACAGTCAGTTCTGTTGGGTCTTTGATCAGCCAGAGAGCCCGCCCTGTATGAAGCAGATCCAGGATAAAGATCCTTCTGCACCCTCCCTTTCTCTTGAGTCTGTCTACTGTTTGAGCAGCCTGGGCTAGTGGAAGGTGTCCCTGCCCATGGCAGGGGGCTGGAACTAGATGATCTTTAAGGTCCCTTCCAACCCAAACCATTCCATGATTCTGTGATACTGTTGTTCTCTGGTGTTGTTTCTTTCATATGGAAAGGAACCTTAACAGCGAGTTGTTTGCTAAATTGAGGGAAAGCCTCTTGTGCTGTTTCTCCAGTCTGCTTCAGAGAAAGAAACAGCCCTGTGAAAGCTGGAGTCAAAGCTGAAAGCACGTGTTCTGGATCTCCCTCAAAATGGCTCTCTATTTTTTCTTTCTTTTTTCTTTATTTTAAACTTTTTTCCCCCCTAAGTTAACCAAACCTGTCTTGGGTTCTTGAATCACTGCACTGATTCAAGCAACAGCGGCTAGCTTAACGACGATGCACCCAATCAGCTAGAATGATACCTGGAGCCCTGCACTGTGTCTCACCTATTCCATCAGTGCTTCCCCTTTGTTTTTGTTGGATATTACTTGTGTGTGTGTGTGTGTGTTTCTTCTGGGGTTTGTCTGCTTTTCAGTAAATTCATGTACTTGCCAGCTTGTCGCAGTCGGAGCAGAATGCTTTTTCCCTTCGCTCCTTAACAAGTGCAAGTGAATCCACAGTGACCCAAGCAGATTGTTCAATATTCTGGCTCTCACAGAAGGTTTATTAATATTTAAATTACATTTTCTCTGCCTTGCATGGGAAAAATCAATCTCTACCTTCTTTATCTTATCCTGCATATAATTTTAAGGCCATTTTAGGTCTCTTTTTAATCATCTCCTCTTCACACTGGATCTTGACATGTGGTAACTGAACTTCAGTCAGCTGTGGAAATGATATTCTGAATGCTTTCGCTGGGCTTTGTGTCAGGCAGGTAAACCTCGATCCCACATGCCAGACTGCACAGGACACATGACTAAAAGCAGCTTTTAACCCCAGCTGACTGTGCCGTGCATCTGCCATGTACTGACATTATTCCTTCCTCGTGCTACAGCTACCAAAGAGAGTTTGATCTAACTGGGAAATCAAGGGAGCAAAGGAGGAGTAGGTTAGCAGGGAAATACCTCTTTCTCTGCTTTGAGAGTGTACGAGGCCCTGGGAACAGAGCAAAACCAACATACTCTTTGTCAGGCATCGGCCCACTGCTGCAAAAGTTGGCAAGTACACCCAGAATGTTTACGGGAATGCTGGAACTGTTTCACTGACATGTAAATCACGTGTATGCCGGTGGGAGATTTGATGGGGAATATGTATGTTTAATGCTTAAATGAGTACTGCAGTATGTGAAGTACTGTATTATCACCCTGACTAACCTCACTCGTTTATAGTGTCTTTCTCCGGTGATGAGGACATACACGAGTGTCTTTGAATAAGTGTTGCGTGGTAGGAAATGATCAAAATGTAGGTACACAGGTAGAAAGTGAAATATTTGATGGTCATTTGTCATGCATATTCCTCAGCTGCTCTTCATGACAGTGTTCACTTCAGTTGAGGTTTAGATCTCCTTTATATTGAAAACCAAAACGTGATATTCTTATATCCACTCTATTGCCCAACAGTTCCTAATGAATGTAAATCTCCATCTGAACGTCCCTTTTATCATTATGTTTTAAGTCAAAATATTCTTTAGCATGAGAGGTCAACTTCTCAAACCACCTCATGTTGCATGACAAAACTAAAATTATTTTAAAGTAACTTTTAAAAATTATCCCCATTTCTGTGGATTGTTTTGTGGGTTTTTTTCAGTTTCTTCTTCTCATTTACTCACAGCATTGTTTTGTTGCAGCGCTGTGACCTCTGCTGCATTCAGCCCACATTTCCAATTGAATCGATATCATTGGCAACGGCCTCAAGTTGTGCCAGGGAGGTTTAGATTTGAAATTAGGAAGGATTCCTTCCTGGAAAGGGCTGTCAGGCATTGGAACGGGCTGCCTGGGGCAGGGGGATCACCATCCCTGGAGAGATTTAAGAGCCGTGTGGACGAGGTGCTCAGGGACATGGGTTAGTGGTGGGCTGGGCAGTGTTAAGTTAATGGTTGGACTTGATGGTCTTAAAGGTTGTGCTGTTGCTGATTTTCTTAGTTTTTAATCTCTGTCCTATTTCTGGTTTAGCTCTCATGTTGATGGTAGGAGTATGGCAGGAGACTCTGTGTGTGCGTACATAAGTGAAACGACCGTGAGTTCCTGCACCCAAAGGAAGAGACTTGCCTTTTCTGTTAAGGACTTCTTTTTTTTTATTTTTAATTTTCCAGGCCAAACAAGCTCTAGGTCTAAAAGGCCTGTTTCTCAGAAATCCAAAGCAGGCCTCCCTGGACAGTCATGCTGCTGGTCAGCTCCACCGCAAACATTCCTTTAGCAGCCACATCTTGAGACGGACAGCCAGTGCACCCACCAAAAGCCAGAAGAAGAACAAGAAGGGCTTCCCTGAAATTGCTTTTGACACAAAAGACAACAGCTCTGAAGGGGCCGGTGAAGACCGTGAAGTGGAAGCTGCCTCACAGCCTCGCTTTGAGCAAGAGCCAGAAAGTGCTTCTCTGTCACCAGCTCCCAGAGATGGTGCCAGTGGGGTGGTACATGGCAAGGGGTTGAAAGGTAAGGCCCACGGTTCTCGTAAAGCCAAAAACCAAAGTTGTGCTCAAGGGGGTGCTGCTTTCAGCGAACCCGTGCGGAGGTCTAACAGGGTCTGGCTTCAGGAGCACCAGAGCGAGAAGCAAAGTGTCTTTGCACGCTGTGCCATCAACAGCTCTGGTAGGATTGGAGTGGCCACCAATTGCATGAAATGCATGATTGGTTCCAAAGAAAGCCCAGATCTAGAAAGCAAGTGGAGTGACCATCCTACCAGGCCTATTGCTAAAGATATGCTTCACCATGACCAGTATAGCAGTATAACTGGAGAAGAGAGGGTAGAGCTAAAAACCTGGGCAGTTAAAGGTCAGCCCAGGCGGCAAGCAGATTTGCAGTCTTGCAGCAGCCCTGGAACTGCCGATGATCTCACAAGGAGCACCCAGTCTTCCGTGACCCCAGGGAAGAAAAATGTTGAATCTAAAAGTCACGGAATAAAGGCTCATTCCCGGCAACGGTGGCAGTGCCAATCAGGTGGCAAGTATGGAAGCACTGTCAACTTGGTTGCAGCCAGCAATGGCTCTATATCCTCCAACTCCAGCAGTCTAGAAAGCCTTGGAAGCCCAGAATTCCCCAAGCGCTGGCCTGAAGCTTCTCGGAGGCAAGCGGGCACCCTACAGAGGGAAATGAACGCCTTGTTCGTTCAAAAATTGGAGGAAATTCGAAGTAAATCCCCTATATTCTTTACTGGTAAGACCAGATTTTCTTCACCCTTCTCCACCTTAGATCACACCATTGTCTCAGCTTCTGCATAGCATCTTCACTTAGAGGCTCGTGTACGTTGTTTTGCTGTCAAGAGCTCTTTTTCTTTATTTTTGGCTATGGTAGAAAAAAGTCTGCGTAAACATTTTTATTTTAGTGTTCTCCTAGCTGTGTCTGGTTTAGATTAGTCCTCTCCATGCCTGGCTAACCATCCGCAGTAGTGAAGCTGTCAGTGCTCCATGGATGTTCGGATTGTTTGTTCAGGGATTTTTGTTTCTTTGGGGTTTTTCAGTGAATGTGGTGTGATAGTAAGTAAATGTTAAGATCCCAACCAGAGCATTGAGTAGAGATTAAATATGGGAAGCGCCTATTAACAACCAATGTTTCCACTGTCAGTAGTTGTGTTTCGCTGCGGGGTATCCACGTCAGAAATGATCCCCAGCACGCACTCTGCTGACGACAAAACCAGTTCCTTCCTCAAAATTGCAGCCACCAGTTCAGGATGGATGGAATTCTCTGGTCCGGGTTACTCAGGAGAGCTCTCTTTATGACCGTAGCAGACCATTCTGGTCCAAACCGTGTACATCCCCAGCCTGCAAACAGTTAAGGTGTGCCGACTGTTACGTGTGCGGGTTGCCTGTGACCCGAGGGCAGAGTTGCATAACGCAGAGGAGCGAGGGATGTGCCCTGACGCCGCATTTCCCAACTCCGAAGCAGAAGGGCTGTGTCTTTACACATGACCTTAGGTGTGTGAAGATGGAAAACACAAACAGAGGCAATCAAGGTATATGGTTTAATAAGGAAAGTGGCTTTTTTTCCCCCTCCTGATTTGACTGGGAGAGGAGGGAAGGGAAGAGAATTTGACAGGATTTTCTCTATTTCATGGAATCGTGAAAAGTAAAGAAATACAGCTTTTGTCTGGCTAAAAGAGCTTCTTTTCAAATCCCTTCCCCTCCCCCTTAGCTGACCAAGGAGTTTGGGCATTGCTGGTTAGGTTTTCAAGAACAGTTAAGTGACTTTGGTGCTTCTCAAGATGTAATCGCTTTTTTAGTGATAGATTCTGATCACCCAGCCATAGTGAGCTGCTTTGAAAGCCTCATGCAGAGATCTAATATTCTGTTTCTTTGGTCAGTTTAATCTGGTTGGGTGTCTGCAATTTCTCTTTATTTCCCTTTTTTCATTCTTTTTTTACATTTTTTTCCCATATAGGCTTTGAGCTTTTAGGAAACTACTAGAACAATGGGAGGGCAGACGTTTGTCAGTTCCCGTGACTCGAAATTAATCCAAAGCAGCAGAACTCTTTGTGTGCCTAAATTATTGGCATTAGGCTTTTCATAAGCTCTGAGCAGTGTGACATAGGGAACCATTTCCCACTATCAGTGCCAGCTCCCCCGCCAGCCCCCCAAGTCACTAAATAAATATTGTGATATGCTTGAAATTTGATTAAATCCATCTGACTTCTCAAGCATGGAATCGGCAAACCTTTCGGATGGTGAGGTAGTCACTTGGAGTGGATGCTGATGATCCAGTGACAGACACTGTTTGCACAAACAGCATGCTTTCCCCAGCCGCCTGCTATTCTAGTGCCGTGGGCCAAGAAACCAAGGAAACCAAGGACGTTAGCCTAATATGGCTGCTTTTCATAATTAGCATTCGGTGGTTGGGAAGTGCCACAAGGATGAGGCAGGAAACTATAGTCTCTGGTTGTCGTCCTTATGGCGACAGCATTACACTTTCCAGTACTTTGCCGTGTAAGTGTGCCGTAACCTGTGCTGATGGCCTCGCCGGGGCGGGCAGGGGGAGAGCTCCTTAGTCTGATCGGCTCTGGACTCTTACCGATACGGAAAGGTCTGCTGTGTTGTGCACGGTGGATGTTCCGTATGGGCACGTGTGCTTCTTCCCGCTGAACGCTCCCGACTGACAGGCCGTTGAATGGCTGGCTCTGTTGTTAAGCATCTTGTCACCATGCTGGAGCCAAAGGGAGAGGCCCAATAGTTCCTTGGCCTTTTTTGGTAACCTAGATGATTTTTTCCATCGGATTAGGGCTTTGGAGAAGAGGAGGCTAGCCTCCATTCCCCAGTCCAGTGGAGTGTGTTTCCTGAACAGCAAAAACCGCTTTTTATTCTCCTATGACAAAATAACAGACTTAACATCCACCCATTTATGGATTCCATTGAGTGCTCTGGTTGGTCAGAAATTCTTAGGATCCTACAAAAATGTGTGAATATCTCTGTCTGTTTCCCTTCCCTCCCTCAGCACTAATTTATCCTGTTACCTGCACCTGCCTTCCCTACATTAACTGGATTTTTCCTCTGTTCTGTCCTATTATTCTACATGCACACTCTCTCCCTAGTTAAGAACTGAAAGGACAAGCAAGTCAAAGGTAACTGTCTACCGAGTGTCACTGATTCAAGCACCTTGTTGCCTGTAGCCCTGGTTTTTGTGTTTCCTGCCTTACAGTCCTCTGCTCTCTGTCCTTGAGGGTGTTGTCTGCCCCAGTGGTGCTTTGCTAGTTCCCAAACGCATGTTTGCATTGTGGTTTGGAGATGTGGGCAGTAGTCTTTTTGGCATGATCGCTTTGGCTCCTGGGGCACAGGTTATAAACCTCGTGGACGGCTGGAGCATTTCGGTGGCTGTGGCGGTTCCTTGGGGTTGTACCGTCAGCCTGGTGTCCACCAACCCTGCGTCGTGTTCTGAAAAAGAAATTACAAACCCTTTTAGAAAAACAGGGTTAGGTGTTTGAAGTTTTTGTGTTGTTTTTAAAAGGCACGTTGGCCACATTCCATTGCGTGCATACAGCGCGTTGTATTTGAAATCTGCTCCAGAAGTTCGATGCTGCTTCTCTGCGGAGTGATTGATCGTTGGGATCGTATCTGTTGGGGCGGTGGTGTTCCGATTATGCTCGGATTTACTGACACGTTTGAGTGCTGGGAAGAAGGAAAAGAGCAATTCCAAGTGATGCTGGTGTTGGAGGAAGAGAAGTTAGAGGATGTGTAACTCCTAGGATATATCCTTGTATAAGGATACAAGGACACAAAGAAGCTGATGGGTACAGTTGTTTGAATCTGATAATCAGAAAAGGAATATGGTGCTGCTGGGCACGGGCTGAGGTTTTTGGGAAGCAACACTGCTTTTGGGTGGCTAAAACCAAAGGAGCAGAAATTTTTGCTGCCTTTAGCCAGGCATTTGAAATCATAAGTTATTTGAAAAATCATGATTAATACATGCGACTACTACCTTAAAAATAACATGGTACCATATAAAGAATAAATCTTCAGCTAAACTGCCATTTGGAATAGCTAATTAACCCCGTATCTCTCTTTCTCTTGTTTCTTTCTTTTTCCTATCTTTCCATGTCTCCCAAGTAGATGTCTGCCATTTCTCAATAAAGAGGTCAGTCACTTCTTTATGCAGCCTAGAAACTATCACTGAAGAGCCTGTTATTGCCAGTGAAAACCATCATGCCAGCCTTTTCTTCCCTCTACCCATTACTCCTTACAGTGATTCTGAAGAAGGGTCTGTGTCTGATCATTCCACCGAACCTCGATCAGAAGGAAGCGGCACATCCCACCAGCCTCAAGAATCTCTGCTCACTAGAGAACAAGGAACAGATCTGGCTGCAGAAGACCAAGTGCAGGTAGTCACAAGAGCAGCTGACACAAGTTTTGTAGGCCAAGAAGACGAGCGGACAAGCACGGCGGGATGTGTCAAAGAAGAAGATGGTTGGACACAGGCATGCAGTAAGGCTGAAGATCCATATGGATTGGCAGTGCATCCTCAAAAAGCCTGGCTGAAAGTCGCAGCAGATAAGGGCGCCGGCCAGCCCGCTGAAAACTGCCAGAAGCAAAGTGACCAACCAGGTCAGGTATTAACGAACGTGAAGGGCACCGTTGAATCCAAAGGCCAAAAACTTGGTGCGGCAGCTGTTCTGCTGCAGGAGAGCAATGTGATCAGCAGCACACCGACAACTTTGCCTCCAGATACTCTCCAGAAAGCCCCAGCTGCACAGGCTCTACCTGTTTCTGTTTCTCAGATGAGCTCTTACATGTTGGTAAGAAGGTCAAAGAGTGAAGGACTGAAGACATCAGACTCCTCAGCCTTAATAAGAATTCCAAGTAGCCTGTCTCCAGCAGCAGAGGTTTACTTTGATGCCACTGTTAATGACCGGATCTGGAGCAAGCTAGATTGCAGCAGTCACCGTGACAGCATGTCTTCCTCTTCCAGCATGTCCTCCAACGACACTGTGATAGATCTCTCCCTACCCAATCTAGCTCGCAAAAGCCTCCCGGATCTTGGCATCCGTCCTGAAAATTTTGAGCCCCTTGCCGTAAGAAAGGGCATGCGCCCGCGATCTGCTACGACGTCTGGTAACGAGATGCCACTGGTGAGCAAGAGCAAATCCAACCCTAACCTGAGGTCTGGCCAGCTGCCAGCGGATGAATTGTGCCCCCGTCCTCTTGCCAGGAGTCCCCAGGATGCGTTCTCCTCCATTCCCAGAAGGCATACGTGGAGCAGGCTGTACATAGAAAGCCTCAGACAGTCTTCTAACAAATCCAAGGCACAGGATATGGTTGGGAATAACCAAGCAAAATCCAAGAGCCTTGGAGACCTTACCTCTGATGATATTGTGTGCACTTTTGAAAGCAAATACCGTAGCATCAGCAGGAGTTTTGTGACTCGGTCAATGCGGGAGCAGCGCCGCTCTTCAGGCCTGAGATCCTCAGTCAGGTCCCAAGATGAATTGACTGAGCAGCTAAAAAAGCTGACAGCCTTTCAAATCAGTCTCGATCCAACTGAATCTGAAGAGGAAGGGGAGAGCTTGGGACTCCTTCGCAGGTCGTCGTCTCGCAGTCAGAGCAGGGTGCGGTACATTGCCAACAGGGCGAAGCAAGCCCAGGAGAGACAGCGGCTGCAAAGCCTGGGCCAGCTCAGTGGGAGCCCCATTGAGGAGAGGGGAAATCCGGAGGGAGCCTGCAGCGTTGCGAAAGCGGTTTGTATGGATGTGGCTTCTCCTGCTGCCTTTACACCCCAGCCGAAGACCCCAGCTGATTATAACACTGACACGGAAGTCTTCTTCATGCTGAAACTGTAATTCTGGGCAGCACTGATAAGGCAATGTTTACATCCCTGTCCAAGCAAAACCCAGTGACCGGAGAGGCACAAAATATCCTCGTACGGCTCAGTGCTTCCGGCTTCCCCTTGACTGTAAGGTACTTAATATCCTGACTCCCAAGGCGTAGCTGAGCGTTAGATCTGTCAGCAGTTTGTGGAAATAGAACAATCAAGTGACATCCGAGACCTACATTTTTGCAGTGACCTGACCACCTTTTTTGGAAATTACGCTTTTTCCCAGCCTCAGATTGGGCCTCCATCATTGCATTTGCAGTTTGCTCTGTGCAAACCTCATGAGCTTTACTAATTTCAGTAATTGCTTCTTATGAAAGGTAAACACCTTTGTGATGTTAACGACAACTAAGGTAAATTTTGCTCTTACTAATTCTGGATCCCTGAAAAGAGACTGAATTTAAAATCAAGCTCCCTGTTCTGTTTTATTTTTTGGAAGAGCGATCTTCTCTGGGAAATAGTAAAAACTGCAGCGTAATTGTTTCATGAATTAATAATGTAGTAGATAAAGTCCGTCTGCCATCATGGACCTGTTTATGTCGGTGAAGATCTCTTTGAAGAAGAGCTCTGACTGTTCCAAAGCAATGCTTTTTTAAACCAGGCTTGGTTATATATATAAATATATACTGTACATCTGTGTGTGTGCAAAGGTACGTCTGCACATGTATGTCCACATGCACACACTTAAACCGAACTGTGAGTGTTCCTTGTCTCAGAACATCATCTGTGGGAATGAGACAGGAGCGAGAAGGGACTTACTAAAGACAGACAGGAAATACCATCTGACTTTAATCCAGAAATGGCTAAAAAGCATGCTAGTCTTTCCTTGAAAACATCACCGTCCCTTCTGTGCGGTACTCTAACAATGCTGCTGTACATAGCACTTTTTGGATGAATTTTACTATTTCTGTATTGCACTGCCATGCAAAATTTTCAATGATATGTTTTAAAAGAGAGATATTTAATTTTTTTAGATGGATGTATTTAGAATTAAAGACCAGCCTGAACAGAATAATAATTTTTCCTCCCTGATTTTTTTTACATTTTGCCTTTAGGGATGTCCTTCCCCCCGTTACTGTGTCATTTATTATAGACGTACGTTTTATCAGTGATGGAGAAGAATCTTTACTGAGATATTTTAAAGAGAAACAGAGGTTTAATTATATTTCAGGCTGCATAGAGTCCCTGTTATTGAGAGGAAATTTTGCTTTTGTTTATAACGTTTCTTTTGTGTATATTGCAAAATCTAAAAATCTGTTTGTAAAACCACCTTACACTACAAAAATAAACATATTTAACCTTCCAGCTGTTGACTCTTTAACGGTGATGTAATGCTTTTCCTGTGCTGTCTAGGAGTTTGTGGTATACACACGTGGTGGGTTCTATCTGCCTTGTTTTAAAAGTTCCTAAACGTGTCATTTTACTCTTTTTCAGCATGGTAGCCATTTCAGATCCAGCTCAGATTTTCGCAGCCCCACCAGAGCACATGCAGGTACTGGCAGAGACAGGCAGTCGGTGATGCGTGCTGCGCAGTACGCGGATTGTTTCAAAGCAATGACTTTGTTTGGAGCCAGTGATGGCCGTGTAGGTGGAAATTTTAGAGGAATTCATGTAATGAGTAGCCAAACAGGCATAATCCAAGGACCTGATCAGCCCTCTGAGTTAGAGTTACAGCTGTCCAAGTAAGACGTAGCCCCGTTCCATCGCTGAGGCTGTTTAAAGTCTGCCGGAAAATACTGCAGCAAGAATTTGCTCTTCAGCTGCCTCAGTCAAAAATGTCTTCCCTTTGTGCCCCAGCAAATTGCACAGCGGAAGTGCCTGTCACTTGGTTCGTCCTCTCTCCTGGAAGGGTGGTCAGCTTACTTGTGGCTTGCAGGGCTAGAAGGGTTTCTAATTTCAGTATCATTCGGCCACAAGCATGTGAACTCTGAGATATCAAAACATGAGGCTAACTGTAGCTGACGGTATCATCGTGACATGGAGTTCGGGGATGGGAAGGGTTACAATCTCTGGTTAAATCCTTTCAAATGGTCTTCAGTATGTTTTGTCTAAAAATAATCTCTCAGTTTTGCATCCTGGCTCAGATCTCCGTTGCTTGCCTTCCTACTTCGGGCGAGAGGCCCTTGCAGTGCGTGCAGCAAAGGTGAGGTTACCCTACGGTATCACTGCTGTCTCGGCAGGAAGAGAAGGTAAATCAGCAGCAGCAGGTGTGATCTGCCAAGATCAGTCTCACATGGCGTCTTAGCACCACGCACCTTTCATTAACGTGCGCTAGCCGAAAAGTCACTGCCATACTTCAGTTTGGGGCTGAAAAGCTGCAGGACGTTGCTGCTTTTTTCTCTTTAAAGCAGGAAAGTACATGCAACGTGACAGCTGTCGAAAGTTAATGTTTAAAAGGCCTATTTGTGTCTTTTCAAAGGCACAATCAGATTATTTTTATCTTTAAGCAATACCTGTGAAATTAATGCCCCTCACAGGGGCAGCATCACGTAGCACTTCAAAACGTTTATCTGTTTATCTGAAAAAACAGCCTCTGGGTTTAACCTACCCAGGTGCCTACGGATCCTGCCCTCCTGCTTCCACGTTAACAGCAACAGCCTCTACAGCTTGTTTCCTTCTCTGCATGAGAGCATCGATCGGGCGTCCGTTTACGAGGGGAGTTGATGTCACGGTACCCACGCCGCTGGGTGGCAAGAAGCTTACTAACCAGTTTTGCTCTTCATTCATCTGGTCTTCACCGGGGAAGAGGAAAATTGCTTACTCAGATCTTCTCAGCAGGCTCTAAACTGGTAAGGAAAGCAGTAAAGATTCACTAACAGTGGAGGGAGTCAGGCGTTCATAGAATCATGGAACGCTTTGGGTTGGAAGGGACCTTAAAGATCATCCGGTTCCACCCCCTGCCATGGGCAGGGACACCTTCCACTAGAAGGAAGGAAGTAGAGCTGAGGTTCCAAGCAGCCCTTTCATTTGACGCACGCCTCACTGCTCTTACTCTCTCGATGATCTTCTCTACCCCCTGTACGATAATCGAGATGACAACGTAGCTTCCCCCTCCCGCCCTGTGAAATTGAGGACACCTGCTAACGCGGCCCCGTGGTCGCTTGTGTGCTCCCTGCAGGGTGTCACGCCGCGGAGCAGAGCCTGGAGTTCAGGAAGGCGCTTGAAAGCCTCGTTCTTCAAGAAGGTCCGTGGGTGACTGAGAAGCCGCTGAGGTAGGTCTCACAGTTGAAAACTGAGCTGCTGGATGGGGCAGGAGAGAGAGGCAGTGTGGGAAGGGGGTTCTACTACCGCCTGAGAGCCCTTCCTGTACCTCATCCCGCAATCGGATCCATCATGCTGCCTAGGGAAAGCCTTTTTTATCTCTTCCCGCTGGCTTGTAGAGAGACAGCACATGCATTCCCTTGTCCGGGGCTCTTCCTCTGTGGCCTCACTCTCATGTGTTTTTCAGTTCATTATAAGATTAGAAGCCCAGAATTCCCAAATTACAAGCAGCGTATTATACATGGACTTGGGATTTATGGTTTGTCTCCAACAGTGTTTAAGACCACTGATGATAAACCTTTTGAGTGTCTTTAAAAACTGATCTTTTCTGTGCTGAGGTGCTTGCACCTACTTGTAGTTGTAGGTACCAACCCTCCTGAGTTGTAGTAGTTAGTCTGCTGAATTCCTGGGAAGGGGCTGCTTCCTTACTGCAGTGCCTTGATGGGTGTATTCACAAACGCTCTGCCTCAGCAGAATCAGCCCCGTGGCAGGGTTGTGCTTCAGCTCACTTTTGAAGTGAAACCAGTAAATGGAAGGACCAGGGGGACAGGAATTTCACCTGTGATTTAAACACCGTCTGTGTGTTAAACAGAACTGTACAATCTGGAGAGGAATTTCATGGCTTATCTGGAAGCTCAGGCCTTCCTTCGGCTGACTGGGCATTGCGAGGAAATACTAGATGGATGTAACAGCTGGGGGTGTGGTTTTGTGGGTGTTATCCGTGAATCCCCCGGCTGGTGTCCCGAGAGTCATGGGGCAGCTGAGGATATGGAGAGACCGGAGAGAGGGGCACAGCTTGAGAGGACCCTGAAGGCTTTCGCAGCACCACGCAGCAGGCCAGCAGCAGCAGTATTGCTGCTGGACCACACTGCTTCCAGACATTGTCCTTTTGCTGGGTGTAGTCTCCTCCTCTTTCCCAAAAGCCAGGGTGCCCCTGGAGTGTGCAGTACGAGCTGGCATGTTCTGCAGAAGCCCCTCAGCCTGGCTCCTCCCTCCCTTTTGTCTATAATAGCCTGGATGCCTGTGAGCGTTCCATGTCCAGGCAGTTTCACTGTGCCTCTTGGAGTTGCTCTGCTTTGCCGTCAGACCAGCGGCACCCGGAGAGGTGTAAGGAATTGCTGTAAGTGAGATCCTGCCTTCAGTCACTGCTCTTCTTGTTGTAGATGACGAAGATCCAAGCCTGCGTGCAGCGGGCTGTCTCCTTCCCAGCCGATGGGTGTTGGTCACCTCCGCCGCGGTTCCCATGCCGGTGCATCCTTCGGCGCCGTGTACAGAAGACTGCTGGAGGAGTAACGTTGCCTTTCTGTTTACATTTTGATGGACTGAAAACCTGAGGAGGGAGAGCTGATTCCAGCAAAGTAACTTTTAAACCCCTTCGTTTGCTTTGCTGTAAAGCCAGGGTGAGAAAATGCTGTAGGACGTGCACGGATACTGCAGTGCTTAATTAGAGCAGTAGCTAAGGCTCTGTCCAGACTGGGAGGCACTAAGCCCTCCTGGTATTTCCTCTCTAACTGCTTCTGCTTGTCATTAAATGACTCTGGTACTGAAGTAGAGCTAGGGAAGTGTGTGAGCCTTTGCCAAAATGCCTTTTGGATGTATTTCCATTCTCTTTGTTCCGCAGCAGGTGTGCGAGCAGCTTTCTTTTCAAGGTGCTGCAAGCAATGTATTACCGGCCCTGATGAGCCTTTTGGAGGCCAGTTGAAATAAAGATCATTCTGTAGCATGTACTGAGTCGTAGGGGGAAAGTAGCAGTAGTTACAGGTTAAACCTGCTGGGAAAAAGGCAGTTCCTCACTGGCTCCACCTGACAACAGCTCTTACTCTTCCCTTATGTGCCCTGGTGACTGATGTAGCTGTTCAGTTCGTGTGCTGGCAACAGCTGACGGCAGCTACCGCTCTGCCTGTGTTCTGTGACCACTTTGTAGAAAATGCAGCCTGACCCATAACTCAAATGTCAGCCCTCTCCTTTGATCCTTTCACAAGGATCAAAATATTCCCACTTGGAAGTATTTTTTACGACAACAACAGCAGAGACAGCATTGAAATTAACCCAGAAAGCATCTTCTGTGTAAATATTACTCATTAGGTGAAAAATGTAGAGAAATGAGTGAGGGAAACTACTGAGCTGTAAGGTCAGGAGCTTTCTAGGAGTGCAGGCGTGGGGAAACTGCCTAGCAGTTGGCGAGGTAAGATTAGCCGAAGCCAGTGTTTTCTGAGCATCGGTCAGGAGCAGCTAATACCATATGTAGGATTGGGGTTTTTTTGCCTGCAAATGGTAAGTTTTCTTGGGTATTTGTAATACGTTTTTTGTAGTTTCTCAGATAATGGTGTCCTGAACCTTGTTTGATATGGACGACAAATACAATAAAACGTGCTGCAGCAGCTTGAGATTCAGTATAACTTTGCACCGATTGGGCGTCACGGTTCTGTTGCTGTTTTACTACGCCAGGGTACAATTATTTCAAGCCATGCAGAAAGTCTGGTGCAGAGTTTGAGATGAATAAGTTGGTAAAATACACTGGGTTTCACCCTCCTTCCCCCTGCCCCTTTCCCCTCATGCAGTTAAGAGCAGAAAGAGGGAGCCAGAGACAATTTTGGATGTGTTTTGATTCGGGTGAAACCCAACCATTTTGGTGCAGATGAAATAAATATCTTTGTGTTGTGCAACCCAAAAGGGAAGTGAAATCAAGGTTTTGCTTTTAAGCCCCCCCAAATGAGAACCTCCTGGAGGAGGTGCTGTTACTAGTGCGATAAAGAGCACCTCGCCCTTCCTCAGAGCCTAAGGGCCCGGTCCCCGGGAGCCTCACGCTCCAGTTGCTTCCTTTCCCTGCGAGCCCATGGCTGCGTGCCCCTGGTTCCGCTCCTGCCTACAGCTGCCCCTCTCCAGGGCTTGTGCCGGTGGTGGCACGCCTCTCCGTTGTGGAGAGCTGACTGGAGGAGCAACACGGTGACCACCAGTGGGTAAATCCACTTTCTCGGTTGGTCACATCTTTTCGCTGCAGCGAAGTGTTCACCAGAGTCTTTTTTTAGTCTTTGTTGTGACCGGACTCCATGTTTTCCCCCAGAGACCTTTCTTTGAACTGGGACTCTTCCGAGTGAGGTGCAGAAAATCCAGGCCACGCTGATTGTAACCCAGCAATTAGGGACCCTAAAACCAGCTCTAACCACCTGCCTTTCGTTTCCAGCAGGACGGCACCTTCGGACTTCTGCGCCGATGGGCACTGGGCTTCACTCCGTGTTCTGTATGGTTGCAACCGTGCTGCTCCTCAGAGGATCAAGCCAGACAGGTGAGAGACATGGTCCAAAAATGCTGGCTGCTTCCAAATCTGGTTTTGTTCCTCTTTCCTGAGTGTTCTTTCAGTCTGCTAGCGCTTACAGGACTTTGGCTTCCTGTCAGCATTTGCTGTCGCGTTGGTTATCACGATGTCGCCAGGGCTGACCGTGTTGTTACAGTCTGTGATTGGGTCTGTTGTGTTATGAGGGCTGCCACTGCACGTCTTTGCCACTGCGGTTGTAAATCCGATGGCAGAGATCAGGGAAGAGTAAAAGCCTAGAGAAAGGGTGGTTGGTGTCCTGGAACACCAGCGTTGTGGTAAAGCTGCGCCCCTTTGAGTCCAGTCCCGTCAGTGCACCAGGATGTGCCCATTAACGTGTTCTTCTGTGGGTGGTGTTCTCCGTGGCTCTTGTTGGGTCCCTCTGCTCATGGCCCGTTTGGGGAAGAAGAGGCGATTTAGTGCATTGAAGTTGTCGGCTCTGTGAGTCCCTGGGGATTTTGTGGACAAAGGGTAACGCTGCCTTCCCCCTGAAGCTGCGAAGGGACGACAGGAGAAGTGGGCAGTGATCAGCCGGCTGGGTCACGCGTCCCTCCCAGCGCGAGGAGCTGGGAGCCTGCTTTGGCAGCCGAACAATGAATGGACTCCAGGCTGGGGCTGAGGAGTAGCTTGACCTTGCAAAATTACTGGGAGGCAAAAATTGGCGCTCAGTTCAGAGGGTTGGGAGAGCAACTTCACTTCCTCAGACCCATCTCCTGTCTCTCATCCTGAAGAGCCCAGCCTACTCCAGAACTGTAACCCACCTGACCCATGGCCTCTTCTTTTAGTCCAGCTGTCCCTCCTGCTCTGCGGAAGGGGGCATGCTGGCAAGGGCTGCAAGGGTACTGGCCTAGGGAGGGAGGATGGGGTGGAAAATTGGGGTGAGGTGGCCAGTTTTTGACAGTGCTACAAGGTTTTTCACAAGAAGGTGAGCAGGGAGCCATTTCCCATCAGAAGGCTGAGCATGCTCGGGTAGAAGGGGTGAGGACAAGGCTGATTTTTCCCACCCACAGTCATTTCCCGCAGCCACCGGCCTCTGGGGAGCGAGCAGGGTGGGATGAGCCTCTTTTCTTTGTCTTCTGTTTTTGCATACCCTCACAAAGGATCCGCACAGCGAGGTCTCGGCTTCTGAGAAGTGTCACTGCGGTGAACTCTGAGTTAGTGCTGCAACTCGATTACTTCTGGGCCTTTCAGGGGGTCTTACAATGGGGCTTTGAACAGCTGCATCCAGTGCCGCTGCGGGGGAGCTGACGCCCTCAGTACAGAGTGTTTTCTTCCAAAAACCCTAGCAGGTCTTCAAAAAGGAGCCTCAAAAAACTTTCACTGGCTATAATGAGTTTCTAAAGAGAGACAAGAGAACTCCTTTGTGACGGTTTCCAGCTCCCAGGGAGAACTGTAGCGGAGAGGGAAAAAGCAGGTTTTGTTTTACAATAATGTGGAGTTCAGCACAAGGCCAGAAAATGCAAACCCAGAGAATGAATGAATATGTTGTTACGGTTAATGAAAAACTCCCAGCTTTTGCTTGAGGGAGTGAAAACACCCTAATTTTTTTGTTTGATCTGGAGGGATTTTTGGCTTTTGCACTGTGAATTCTTTGGTTCCAAGGAGCGATGCTGTGCACATCCCGGGCGAGGAACGAGTCACACACGGACACAACCCTGGGTTTAACTCTGCATCGCGGGCGCTGCAGCTCACCCCTCTGGCAGCTGGGGTGGGAGGGAGGTATTCTCCTGGCTATTACAAAAATGGAAGCTGTGGGTCAAATCTTTGAACAAGACTTGGAGAAAGTCACGCAGCAGAGCGGAGGGGGAACCCAGAAGCGTGATTAACCCCAGTAATTGTACTTTTAGGGGTTTTTACCAAAGGGGAGTATCACTATCTTTGTTTTACACGTGGGGAGGGGCAGTACAGAAAATAATACAGTGATATAGATAAAGTAATAAATAGTAACACAGATAAATAATGGTTGCAGCCCCTTTAGCTGCTTAGATGGTAGGAACCGGTCCTTACTAGGGGAAGGGAAGAATAAGAAAACCTCTAGTCTCTTGGAACTTAACGGTGATGAACTCTTGGCTGTTTACAGGGCTGGTCCCTGGGGGTACGGACAGGGCTTTGCAGGAGTTAGGGGGAAGTGCTGGCCGTGTGCACCACGGGAGAGCTGGGGAGGGCAGTCGGGAAATAGGGCAGTCGGTTCTGCAGAATGCGTTCCTCAGCGTGTGAGTGACAGCCGTCATCACTAAGGTACAAACGGGCCCTTCTGCAGCCTGGGCCTGGCTGTGTCCGTCTCTGCTGCTCCTGGTCTCACACCAATCCTCCGCTGCCAAGGAGGAAACAAGCTCGACAAGGCACCCCCGAGTCCACCGCGCGATGAGCTTCCGGGGGGAGGTTAATCATTCCCGTTATTTAAGTTCAGCCTGAAACGTCGCTTTGAAGGAGCAATAACTACAAGCCCTGTAAGCACTGATTTTGTTGTTGTTACTGTTTTTTCAGGAGCTACGAGGAACGATGATGCTGGGAGTAAGGTATGTTTAAATTCGCTGGTGCGCAGCCGCCCACGAAGGCAGAAGGTCTTACATTTCACACTCGGAAGTAGATGTGGTCGCAGCGTGCTTTTAATCCGTGAGGGGCGGTGTTTTAAATATACTGTCCCTGGCTGGTGATGGCCATGTCGAAGTCTGTGTGTCCCTGGGTTTTTCACTTAATCTTTTGTCCAGAATTCAAAGTTCAGTCACGCCCCAGGGGAAAATCTGCCCATAGCCCATAGGCTTATGGACTTTAAACCTCAGACTTATCAGAATTACTCTCTTTGTAAACTTCTTCAGGTCAGAGGAAACACAGACACACATGAACATGCAGAGGCACCTTTATTCGTTCTGAAGATATGTGCTTTATCTCCAAAAGCTTGCGCTTCCCATGGAAAGGGTCTGTGTGGGATGTAGCTCCTCGGGATTTGTAAGGCACAGAGTGTGCTGAGGAGGTGTGAAGTGAAATGCTCATGGCTTCTCAGCAACTGCTGGGCAGCCCTGGTGTCGCGATCGCTGCAGCTTTTGGGGCAGATTCACCGCTGGCTTAACACACGCACCCCCCAGGCTGTAACGTGGGGCCGGGTCTGGGGCTGTGAAATCCAGTTATTTCATCTTCCCTTTGTGATTTGCAGGGCACCGCCTTGAGGGGACCTGAAGAGAGTCTTCCCACTTTGACTGTCACAACAATCCTGGTAAGGCAGTGACCCAACACCGAGAGATGCTGGAATGACACTTGGCATTTTCTTCCCACCCATGTATTTGGAGGTGGTTTTTTGGGCTGTGACCCCGACATCCCTGTTCATCACGGTGATTTTGGAGCCCTGGCTCGGTGGTGTCGGGCCGCCAGCTGTCTGCAGTTTGCACAGGCGGGTTCGAGGGCTGTCAGAGTCAGCCCACAGCGTGGACTGGGCGTAGGCTGCCGCCGACTGCTCCGCAAGGCCGGCCGGGCCTCTCCCCCGTGTTTGGGCTGCTCATGTTGCCTACATGGTGTTTCTCCTCTGCAGTGGAAATATGTAAAGATCACACGAGCAGGGATTGGAAACAGGCCATAAAAACCCAAAATCGCGTCCCCAGGCGCCGCAGACAAGCGGGGAGGGTCAGAAGACGCTGCAGCAGTACAATTCCCGGTTCCCATGTCAGCTCCTGCAGCAGGAGGTCACCCTCGCCCGATGTTTGCTGGGCCAAATGAAAGGTGTTGGGGCTTTGAGACTGAGAAGACGTTATCACCTCCTCCTGCGGTGCACGTGGCTTGCAGAACGCAGCTGCCCTGCTGCCCTGTCGGCCACGACACCGCCCCAGTGAACGTGGAAATGCCCACGATAGTGCGGACAGGGGTCTGGGGTGGGGGGAGTTGCCAAAGAAACGGCTTCATGCAGTCGGTTGCTCCGCAGGCGGCAGGAGGGTGTAACTGTGGCTTTGTCCCTCTGTGCGCAGGAAGATCCGTACGTCATGGTGAGAAGCGCAGAACTGGAGGGGTACTGCGTGGACTTGCTGAAAGCCCTTGCCGCGATGCTCCACTTCAGCTACAAGGTGAAGGTGGTGAGCGATGGGCAGTACGGAGCCGTCTCTGCCAGCGGGAACTGGACAGGCATGATCGGCGAAATTTTGAGACAGGTAATTTTGCATCTATGTTTTTGACAAACTGCAGCTCAGGAAGGAAGAAGCAGTGCTGGGAGCTCTTGGGCACCGTCACAGTTTGCTCAGGGCCTTGGACTCAGCCTGCCTGTGGTGCAGAACTGAGGAGTAGCAGGACTTGCAGTTGGTTTTGGCCTGCAGATACGGAAACTGAGGAAGAAGGAGACAGTTCCCTGCGGCTAGCGCTCTGTCATCTGTGGTAGCACTTGAATTAAAGCTGCTGAGCTCCTCTGAACTCGGCCGAGTCCAGCTCTCAGTCACGTAGATGTGGCAGCCAGAAGCAGAGAGGAGCACGCCCTCGGGTTTGGGTGAAGCAAACCAACGGGGTTCACGGTGCTCAGGCTCCGTGTGCGTGTGGGATGCTGCAGCAGAAGCCCCAGATACCAACCAGCACCCCAGTGCAGAAACAGAAGCAGTGCAGAAAGGAAAACTGTCCCCTTTCTTGGAGCTCAGGGTCTAAGTGAAGCTGTCTGCTGACACAGAGAAGGGATGTGCCCTGCAGATTCCCGCCCACTCAGCCTGGGAAGCATTCTCTGAGGGACAGGAATCTTCAGGCAGGTTGGGTGGTTGGGTATGTTGTCTCCATCTTACAGGAAGCAGACATTGCAGTGGCCCCACTGACAGTCACGTCGGCACGGGAGGAGGTGGTCTCCTTCACCACGCCGTTCCTGCAGACTGGGATTGGAATCTTGCTCCGAAAAGACACCGTCTCTCAGGAGATGTCCTTCTTCCACTTCCTGGCTCCTTTCAGTAAGGAGACCTGGACTGGCCTTTTATTTGCTTACGTGCTGACGTGCTTCTGCCTCTTCCTTGTTGCCAGGTATAAACGAATTCCATTCACAGGTTTGGTTCAAGTCCGCTGCTTTCTCTGCGGTGACGAGGCCTCAGTTTTAAAGAAAGTACCAGGGAGCGTTTTGCTCCGAGGAACCCTCTGTCCTGGTCCAGAACCAGGGGAGCAAAGCTGAAGTCCTGTCAGATCAGGGCAGCATTAGGAGTAGGAGAGCACCGTTGTCTGAGTTGCCGCAGGGTCTGCGTGCCTCTAGGTCAGCTCCTCTCTTGATCAGAGCGTGTCTTGAACTGTGACCGTGCTCCTTGTGCGCTCTCCCTCCTGGCGTGTTCTCACGCACGCTGCCCTGCCCTGGCTGGTGGAAGAGATGCCGCTCCAACCCCTTCCCGGGAGATCCAGCTGTCTCCCCCTTTCTCCTTTAGGCCGCAGGAACGCTCCCTGCGGCTGCAGCCCTGAGCAGAAGCTCAGTTGCTGCTTTCCTGGTTTCATGCTCGGGCTCTGTAGGTCCGGGTTTGCCGCAGGGAGCAGCCCGCAGCCTGGCGTGACGGAGCCCCCACGCGCGCCAGGGAGAGGGGGTTCGGCAGCGGCTCGGGAGGAAAGTGACTGTGACGGGACACCCTGAGCCATCACCGTGGCCAGCTGCTTGAGGCATTGAGCAGGGGCACTTTGCACTGGTTAAACTGGGACAGGGGCTGCCGCGGACGGGAAGGGCATTGCCAGGCTGGCTGCGCTGCTGCTGCCACGCTGACGGGTTATTCCTGGTTTTATCCTGTTGTTTTCCCCCAGGCTGAGCCCCTGTGAATGGAATGAGCCAAAGAATGAAGAGAACCACTTCACCTTCTTGAATAGCCTCTGGTTCGGAGCAGGAGCGC